ATTTGGGGACATTTGGGGATTTTGGGGGGATTTGGGGACTTTGGGGGATTTGGGGATTTTGGGAACATTTGGGGGATTTGGGGACATTGGGGGATTTTGGGGGATATTGGGACATTTGGGGATTTGGGGATTTTGGGGCGATTTCGGGGGATTTGGGGACATTTGGGGATTTGGGGATTTTGGGGGCATTGGGGGATTTTGGGACATTGAGGGATTTGGGGATTTTTGGGACATTGAGGGATTTGGGGATTTTTGGGACATTGAGGGATTTGGGGATATTGGGAAGGATTTGGGACTTTTGGGGGATTTGAGGTCATTTGGGGATTTTGGGACAATTGCGGATTTTGGGGGATTTGGGGACATTTGGGACATTGGGAAGGATTTGGGACTTTTGGGGGAATTTGGGACATTTGGGACTTTTGGGGGAATTTGGGACATTTGGGGATTTTGGGGGATTTGGGACATTTGGGACATTGGGAAGGATTTGGACTTTGGGGGGATTTGGGGACATTGGGGGATTTTGGGAGATATTGGGACATTTGGGGATTTTGGGGACATTGGGGACATTGGGAAGGATTTGGGACTTTTGGGGGATTTGGGGTCATTTGGGGATTTTGGGGGATATTGGGGATTTTGGGGGGATTTGGGGACATTGGGAAGGATTTGGGACTTCTGGGGGATTTGGGGACATTTGGGGATTTTGGGGGATTTGGGACATTGGGGACATTGGGAAGGATTTGGGACTTTGGGGGGATTTGGGGACATTTGGGGATTTTGGGACAATTGCGGATTTTGGGGGGGATTTGGGGATATTTGGGGATTTTGGGGGATATTGGGACATTGAGGGATTTGGGGATTTTGGGGACATTTGGGGGATTTGGGGACATTGGGGACATTGGGAAGGATTTGGGACTTTTGGGGGATTTGAGGTCATTTGGGACTTTTGGGGGATATTGGGACATTTGGGGATTTTGGGATTTTGGGGACATTGAGGGAATTGGGGGCATTGGGGACATTGGGAAGGATTTGGGACTTTGGGGGGATTTGGGGACATTTGGGGATTTTGGGGACATTTGGGGGATTTGGGGACATTTGGGACATCGGGAAGGATTTGGGATTTTTGGGGGATTTGGGGACATTTGGGGATTTTGGGGGGATTGCGGATTTTGGGGGGATTTTGGGGGATTTGGGGACATTTGGGGGATTTGGGAACATTTGGGGGATTTGGGACAATTGGGGAGATTTGGGGATTTTGGGGACATTTGGGGGATTTTGGGGACAATTGTGGGATTTGGGACTCTGGGGACTTTAGGAATATTTGGGGGATTTCGGAACTTTTGGGGGATTTGGGGACATTTGGGGATTTGGGGACATTTGGGACATTGGGAAGGATTTGGGACTTTTGGGGGATTTGGGGACATTGGGGGATTTGGGACTTTTGGGGAATTTGGGGTCATTTGGGGATTTTGGGGGGATATTGGGACATTGAGGGATTTGGGGATTTTGGGGACATTTGGGGATTTGGGGACATTTGGGACATCAGGAAGGATTTGGGACTTTTGGGGGATTTGGGGATTTTGGGACAATTGCGGATTTTGGGGGGATTTTGGGGGATTTGGCGACATTTGGGGATTTTGGGGGATATTGGGACATTTGGGGACTTTGGGGATTTTGGGGGATTTGGGGGCAATTTCAGGGTGACTTTGGGGTGATTTTGAGGCTGATTTTGGGGTGACTTTGGGCTGATTTTGGGGATAATTTTGGGCTGATTTTGGGGTAACTTTTGGGCGTTTTAGGGGTGATTTTGGGCTGATTTTGGGGTGATTTTAGGGGTGACTTCAGCCTATTTTAAGCCGACTTTGGGCCGAATTTAAGATGAATTTCAGGGTGATTTTGGGTAACTCCAGGATAATTTTGGGGTAACTTCAGGGCGCTTTAGGGCTGATTTTGGGGTAACTCCGGGACAATTTTGGGGCTGATTTTGGGGTAACTTCAGCCTATTTTAAGCCGACTTTGGGCCAAATTTACGACCGATTTTCGGGATAATTTCAGGGTGATTTTGGGGTAACTCCAGGCCAATTTTGGGCTGATTTTGGGGTGACTTCAGCCTATATTAAGCCGACTTTGAGCCGAATTTACGGCCGATTTCCGGGATAATTTCAGGGTGACTTTGGGGTAACTCCGGGCTGATTTGGGTCTGATTTTGGGGTGACTTTGGGCTGATTCTGGGGATCATTTTGGGCTGATTTTGGGGTAACTTCTGGGTGTTTTAGGGGTGATTTTGGGGATGATTTTGAGCCTGATTTTGGGCTGATTTTGGGGTTGATTTTGGGGTAACTTCAGGCTATTTTAAGCCGACTTTGGGCCGAATTTACAACCGATTTTCGGGATAATTTCAGGGTGATTTTGGGGTAACTCCGGGCCAATTTTGGGGCTGATTTTGGGGTAACTTCAGCCTATTTTAACCCAACTTTGGGCCGAATTTACGGCCGATTTCCGGGATAATTTCAGGGTGATTTTGGGGTAACTCCGGGACAATTTTGGGCTGATTTTGGGATAACTCCAGGGTGTTTTACGGCTTATTTTGAGATCATTTTGGGGCTGAATTTGGGGTAACTTTTGGGCGTTTTAGGGGTGATTTTGGGCTCATTTTGGGGCTGATTTTGGGCTGATTTTGGGGTAACTTCAGCCTATTTTAAGCCGACTTTGGGCCAAATTTACGACCAATTTTCGGGATAATTTCAGGGTGATTTTGGGGTAACTCTGGGCCGATTTGGGTCTGATTTTGGGGTAACTTCAGCCTATTTTAAGCCGACTTTTGGCCGAATTTAGTACCTATTTCAGGGTGATTTTGGGGTAACTCTGTGACAATTTTGGGGTAACTTCAGCCTATTTTAAGCCAACTTTGGGCCGAATTTACGGCCAATTTCAGGGTGATTTTGGGGTAACTCCGGGCCGATTTTGGTCTGATTTTGGGTGTTTTTTTTTACATTTTCGGGGCGCAGGCATGGCGGCCTCGGGTTACCTGAACCTGGCGGCCGACGCGGCGCACAACTTCACGGACGGGCTGGCGCTGGGCGCGGCGTTCTGGGCGGGTCCGGCGCGGGGCGCGCTGACGGCGCTGTCGGTGCTGCTGCACGAGCTGCCCCACGAGCTGGGCGACGTGGCGCTGCTGCTGCGCGCCGGCTGCTCCAAGAGACAGGTGGGGGGAAATTGGGGGGAAATGGGGGAAACGGGGGGAAAAATGGGGAAAATGGGGAAAAAT